ATTCCTGCTAGACTAGCACCACTGTTACCTGTTGCAAAACTAGACAGGATTGGAGGATTTGTGGCTTTGAAAGTCAGGAGGAGCAAAACCAGTGCTAGCCAAGGACTTGATTTTGCATGTTTCTGCTTCTGTATTAACGCAGCTGTGGCAATAAGTTTTTATTGAGGTTTTTTTAGTGTTTTGCTCAGAACTTTTCTATCAAAGATAGCGAACCAAAGAGTAACAATGCTGACTGATCCTACTTGTTTGCAGTTGACATTTTTCCTGTTTTTTTCTGAGTTTTGTAAGATCCTGAAATTAATACCACTCTTCTGTGCAATTTGAATGTTCTTGAGTACCTTTTCTCTTATATGTTTTCACCTTTTGGTTAATGACAAGATCAATTCAGTGACTGCAAGAACTACTGAGATTTCTTTTGCTTTCACCTTCAATATTCTTTTTCTTTAGGTTAATAATATGACATAATTTTCTTAGTATCAAGAATGATACAATCCAGTGTTTTAAATGGTGGGGTTTTTAGCTGTTGCTATGCTGACTGGAGGGGAGCTGACACATTAGTTTTGTCTCGATTTGCTGGTATCTGTGTATAACTTTACACTTAGTCTTCTGATACACAGGTGAATAGATCAAAAAATGGTGGCTATTGTCTATAATTTTAATGAAAAATATCATGCATATAAGTCCACTTAAGCTTAGGTACTGAATCGTAGCAGTTATTAAATAACTTCTAATTTTGAGACTAATCTAATTAATCTATGCCTGATGGGCATTTTAATTATGTGGATGGTAACCATGCTACTGCATGCTGTCAGTCCTGGCTCCCACTTCAGTTACAAGTCAGTTCAGGATGGGAAAGTTAAGAGCTGGCAGTGTGCTAAACACCATTCATCAGGTTCACACTTTGCAGTGTCTCCTGGTGATAGACCTAGAGATTATATGCTTTGCTTCTGCAGATCTCTCCACACCTGTCAATGATGACTTGCACACCTTTGTGTTCACAAGGGGCAGTTCTTCATCTTTGTCTCTGTGTAGGGCAAGTCTTTGTCACCAGTTTTTGAAGTGGGAGTATGATCAATCCCTTTGTCCTGAACTACTCTGTGTTCCTTCTGTGTTTATGCTGAAGTTTTTGCTTGGAAATAGCATGGTAGATTGTAGAAGAAGAATAGTGGCAGAGGCTTCTTTTTCTGAACACAAGTCCCTTTGTGGGGGGGGAGCTACACAAGTAGCTTTGTCCTGCTCCAGTCTCAGTTGCTTCAGGAAGGTCCAAGGGCTCCATGTATTATTCTCCAGCATAACTGGCTCTAGCTTAAGGTGTAACTGCTGACCTGTTGTCAAAGCTACTCTATCTGCAGCCTACCTGAGGTCTACTGTTACTCAAAACAAATCCTGAGGGAAAACTTTGAGGTAAAGCCAGACATCCAAATGGAAGGATGCTAAGCCAGTATACAGAGAACAGTGTGTATTCCACTCCATTCCATTTCCACAAGAAAATATCATAAACATGATATTCTTAAAAATCAATTTGCAGATTTAAGTCTTGGATAGTGAATGTTGCTTAAGGACTTGTGGATTCTTTTTTTATTTCTATAAAGAACAATAAATTATAAATGTTGTGTGAAGAAAGAAGGAAACACATCCTGGTTATCTGAGTTGTTTGGTATTTAAAAAGAAGGTCAGAATGGAGTTAATAGATTTTCAGTTTTATTTCAAAAAAAATGTATTTCGATGATTTAGTTATTTATTTGAAGTCTTGTACCTGAAGATGTACAATGAATCACCCACTTGGAGTTAAATTCACATTGCATCTATGTTCAACTAAGTTAATTTTCTTACAAAACTAGAGATCTCCACTTATAGGTTCAAGACATTAACATTAAGCACTGACAATGTGGATCTGAGTGAACATGTTGCTTATTCGACACAACAAGCTGATTACTGCTTAAAAATTGATGAAATTCTGAGGATCATAGAATTGATCTCTGGAGGTTTTACCTTTTCCTTTCTTGCTCTTTTTATTCTTTCTGGAGCTAACTGAAGACTGTCTCTATAGGCTTCTCTCTGTTTTCCTTCCAGCTTACTGAAACTTCTTTTCCTTAATGCTACCTTGTTAAAGACTCCACTGCTTTAATATATAATTTTCATTGTGACTTTCATTGCTGCAATTAAGTGGCTAATTGAACAGTTTATAATGTGTATGCCTAATTGCTTCTGCAAGAGGTTAACTGTGAAAGGCATAGAAAATTAAGACACAAAATGTTGCCTAGGTTACCTTTTACTGAGTAAAGCCTCAGGGATTTTGTTTACATTGCTGTTTATGGGCAATGAAGCTCCTGAAGATGTTTCAGTAGGAAGCTTCCTTTGATATTGAATCTTAGATGTCAACTATAGTGTAATAAGCCACAGTTTAAAAAAATTCCATGAAATGTAAGCATAGAAAATACATTTGGGGTTTAGGGCCCAACCTGCAGTAAAAAATGTAAAACTGCAGTTAAACTTTTCTTTTCCTGCTTATCTTTCAAAAAATAGAGAGCAGCGATTTGGATTTTTTGGATTGCCTTTAATAAAAGCAGAGCAAAACTAATACTAGTGTCTAAGAATATCTTCAATGGGTTTTTCACAGAATAAATAAAAGTTTAATCTGCCTTTGCTATTTATAATAATACACGGACTTTAGAATAGCTCTTATGCCAAAAATATATTGATGTATTGATCACCTGTAGCTGGGGTGTTTCCAGTTGTTCGTTGGACTCTGCACTGTGTGAAACGGAAAACAGCGCAGTGTAAGATCAAATCTAAGAGAACTTAGAAAAATTTAAACTTCTCAAGTGTATCTTCAGAGTTACCAATTTTTAAAAAAATTGTGGGGTAATGTAATAATTTTATTATTTCTAAAATAATGTAATCGTTATTTTGTCATACAGATTGTATTTATGGTAGAGGTAGAGCTAAAGCAGAATAAGAAGACAAAGAACCAATAGTATCAATGTAGGAAGAAACTTTCTTGGTTGTTTTTAAAACCATTTCTTTATAAGTAAATATTGCTGACAAAAAAAAAAAGGTTGTCTTTACAAGATGTGTGGGGAAATGCTGCAGCTGGCAAATCTTTCTTTTCAGGCAGCTGGGGTTGTAAATTTGTTTTCTTTATACCTGCCCGCTTTCTTGTCACCCCGGTGGTAAAAAAACAAATAGCTTATTTGAACAGTCTCTGTTGACTAGTAGAGCTCATACAATACTGCTCTTACGAAGGAACATTTCTTGTGTTTACCTTCTTCTCTTCTGTGTTTAAACCACTATCCTCCCCTATTTCTTTACCACTACTGAAATTTACCTCTTTCGCTTTTCTAAATCATACTCACTTTCTGTCTGTGATCTGCTTGATTACAGGCTCTGTACATTTTTGGTCTGGTTCTGGTTTTCACTGTTATTTTGTTCCATACTGGAGGGATACCTGATGCTAATGATGCAGGCAAATACTCTTCATCTTTCTAAAACTGAATGCTGACCCAAGGAGGTGTCCGTGTTAGTTATGATGGACAGGGTTATATTCTACTGATTTTGCAGAATTTCAGCAGTCTGAATGGTCATATTTGAAAGTCTATATAGGCATCTTTCCTTCTATTATATATAAATGTTCTATGAGCTTTCAGTTTACCCATGTTATTCATACTGTATCTGAATTTTTGCTACATCCATTAATTTTAATGTATGTTTTTTCCACACAGGATTTAACAATTCTGAACGCATGTGCGACAAAGAGTTCATAATACGCAGAGCAGCCACAAATCGCGTCCTAAATGTCTTGCGCCACTGGGTCTCCAAGCATTCTCAGGTATTCTTCTGTTGCACCCTTCTCCTCTCCACCTGTGATACGTCTGTGTTCTCCATACAAAATATTTTTAGGCACTGCTGCTGTATAGTGTAGCAGAGGTGAAACGACCTGAAAAGTCAGTGCTGTAAAGATAACATGAAAAATTAACTTGTAAAAACACACTGTTAAGCCAGTGAAGAATCCGTCATCTAGCCTTGCAAAGCTCTCTGGAAAATACACGGTTACATTATTCCTGTGAGTGCTTTACTATTGTAATATGTGTTGAAACACATAATGAGCAGGTTGGATTAATCTTTCAGATTTTCAGCATTCATGTTACAGGCAGCTTGGTTCAGTTACTTTGCCTGAAAGTGTTAAAATACTTGTGTTTGCATACAGATATTTATTTATTTGTTGTGAATTGTATATGGAAAGATGCATCAGTCCTTCATGTTGGTCATGGAATCACAGAATCACAGCATGATGGGTGTTGGAAGGGACCCCTGAAGATCCTCTGGTCCAACCTCCCTGCCAAGGCAGGATCACCCAGGGCAGGTTGCACAGGAACGCGTCCAGTCAGGTTTTGAAGGTCTCCAGAGAAGGAGACTGCACAACCTCTCTGGGCAGCCTGTTCCAGTGCTCCGTCACCCTCACAGTAAAGAAGTCAACCTCACGTTGCCTGTACTGCAGTTTGTGCCCATGGCCCCTCATCCTGTCACTGGGCACCACTGAAAAGAGACTGGCTCCATCCTCCTGACAGCCATCCTGCAGATATTTATAGGCATTGATAAGATCCCCTCCCAGCCTTCTCTGCTCCAGACTAAACAGCCCCAGGTCTCTCAGCCTTCCCTCATATGAGAGATGTTCCAGTCCCTTAATCATCCTCGTAGCCCTCCGTTGGACTCTCTCCAGGAGTTCCCTGTCTCTCTCAAACTGGGGAGCCCAGAACTGGACACAGTCCTCCAGATGAGGCCTCAGCAGGTCCTTCTACAACCATGACAGGACTGTATGTCTGATATGTAATCATAAAACTGTGTTGGCAGAGAGAGAGGAAAAAAAAGATCTGAGTATCTAGTAGAATTTCATAGATGGCGATGTCCTTTAAAGCTGCCAGGTGAGACAAATATTGGAAGATTTTGGTACACATGTAGAAGACTACCAGGAAAATTACTAAAAGAAATAAAGGAGGGGAGGAGAGAAGGAGGAATGGAGAGGAAGAAGAAAGGAAAGAAAGAAGGAGGAGAGGGAAGGAACGAGAAAGACTGAGAGCACTTTGAAAGCAAATCAAAGATTTTTGTACACCTTGGATGATGGTACTTCATGGCAATTATAGCCTGCTTTGTCACTGCATGCTAATAATCAAGAACGCTTGATCTAATGTGGGTTTATTGCACAGCTAACTGTAGCAATGTCAAACTGTTCTATGTCAGGCTCAATTCCCTTTTTTCCATGTAATAGGTTTGATTTTCATAGAGGTTAAGTGTGCTAGAGAACAAAGTCTTTAAGAAGTGCGCAAGTCAGAAAATTGGTTGTGTTTGAAAAGCTGAACAGCCCAGAAGAGATTAATAAAACCCCTTTTGGTATCACAGGAATGATTAAATCGTTTTAGTTATTAGAAACAACCTGTGTACACCCAAGTTCTCTTTGACTGCCTGTTAAATGAAAATCATTGCATGGCAAAATCTTAAGCTGTAACGGGAACGGCAGAAATCTGTTACTACTGTTCTGTGTAGTGTAATGTACCTACTTACTGTGTCCCTGCCACAGTTCATATTAAGTAACTGCTATGAGTTGGGTTGACCCTCTGTAGTAATTAAAATGTGGTTAACTAATGTGGTTGTGAAAATGTTAGGAGTCATCAGACTTTGGTTTACATTAAGCAACTGTTTACAACAATTAGACTGAAATTTACGTTTCAGACATGACTCTGATTGAGTTGTGATGACTCTCTATCATAAACACAAAGTAACTGTGAACAATACAAGCATAGTCTGTCATTGTAGCAATTTATCAAAAATACACTTTCTCTCCTTAAAAATATAAGTGTTCTCTGTTTCCATTTTAAAAATACTCGTGATATGCAAAGATATAATATTTTCCTGAATACTTTTGCACCTACTTTTGCATAATGATTACAATTAGTATTCTTTTAAAAATATTAAGAGGACAAAGGTAATGAGTAAAAATTCAACACTGTGCATTTTCAAAGTGGAAGCTATTACCTGGACTCCCTAGTCACTCACTGTCTTTTATATTTCCCAATGCAAGGATGGCAGATTTTAATTCTCTGGCTTTCTTAATCCAGTATTCCAATAGAGCAAATATTTTAAAATGCAAGGGCTTTGCCACAGAAAGTAATGAATGCTACAGCGACAGAGCATGTAATCAGCTTTTTGTGTTGTTTACTTGTGAGGCTAGGGAGAGAGAAAGGACAGAAGACCTCAGCAAACCAGAAATGACTGACTAGTTTCTGCAAAAAAAATATGGGACAGGACTGCTTTAAGCAAGGCTGGTGAAGAATTACTGTCTGGCCAAATAGTACGAAATGTTGGCACTGAAGATGTATAGTCCTGGGAGAGCAGTAGCTCAGAGCCTTTTTACAATAACAACACAAACTGCAAGACAGAGAACCCTTAGCCACCAGTGTCTGGTGAAGAAATGCTTATTAGATTTCCAAAATGACAAAACAATGTAAGTATTAAAATGCTATGAGATCAACAGACCTGCCAAAAACTTTATTACATTTTAAGGTATTTGCATCATTCTTTGGGCACTTAATGCATTTGAGACATCCTTCACCTTCATCAGCAGCCAAGGGCAGGTTTTATTATCTCTTTAAAAAAAAAAGTTAACAAAATAAGTTGATATTCGCAAAGATAAACGTGCAGTTCGGTATGCTTTGCTGCTACTGTTTTCTCTCCACTTGACTTTGAACTTGATTTTGCTGCAAAAACTCCCAACACAAATAGGCAATTTCTGTCCTCTGTGGGAGAAGCTTCTCCCACTGTCAGGTAGGCTATTTTCCTTGTGATGTGCCTGAGATCTTTGTGGCCATTGCTAGCCTGCGCCACTGTAAGAGGTGACTTGCTGTGCAGATTTTTTCTGCCAAAATGCCATTTCCTTATTACTAGATGTAAAGAGAAGCAAAGGCATTAGACTGGTAAGCTGTGGGGCTTTCTTTAGTTTTATTTTTAGGATGCAACATGCTACTACAGGCATGCTTAGTGTTGCCGCATGTGAGTTACTCCGCAGCATAACTAACTCTGTTCTGGTGCTCTCTGATCCACCAGTGACAGTCAATTCTCTACTGTCTGCCTAAATTATTGTACTGATTTATTGTGTTCCAGTGCCCAGAGCATGTGAGGTGCTGCACAGTCACATAGGAGTGTGTGTGTGCTATGTTCAGAAATGTGTGCAATGTAAAGATACTAATGCACAACCATCTGTTAAAAGTGCTCTTAGATATATCATCCTGCCTAGTTATTCACTGCCCTCCATCCCTCTCTCTGGATCCCTTTGGCTTGCTTTAGTGTGCTGCTCTCACGTGTATAATAACATGGGTTAGGGTTAGCGCATGAACTAAGGGGTAGCAGAATTATCCAAACAAATGATTCAAAGTTTTGTGTTTCCTCTCTTTCTCTAGCAAATCCTTGGCCAGGGTTTGGAGGGTCTTTTCTCTGCTGGGCTATGTAATGAATTAGCTTCCTGCAGTATGTTGCAACTGTGTCAAAACCACAGTTGTGGATGTGTCAGGGTTGTTTTTTGTTTAAAACATGTGTTTTATAAAATTTAGCTGAGCATGGGCAGTATTTAATATGTAAACTTGTCTGTGGTCAGAAAACAGAATCATTAAAATTAACAATTCAGCCTATTCAGTGAGGATGTGTTTCATAAAGCAGTTTTGTTATCTTGAAATCACACTAAACAATGCTTAGAAAAAGGATTCATTATTTTTAAAACAAGGGTCGTACACTGTAGGAGCCTCAATTAGATTCCAAGTAAATATATAGTCATGATGCCAGATCTGCAGCCCTTTCAGGAGGGCAGAAGAAACTAAGTAATGGGTCCAGGACCTCCCAAGGCACAGATAAAAATTTGGAAAAAAAAATCCTCACATAATGTGACACTCACTTTTTGTTTTTACCACACTGTATTGCTGATCAGCCAAAACCAGCACAGCGTGCAAGATGGCTCGTTTAGGTTTTCCAGGGTTTTTTATTTACATTTTCATTCTTTCCATTCCCTATCCCTCCTCTTTTTTCCCCTGCTCTTCTCTTTTTCATTCAACCACCTACAACACAACAAAGCTTTCTTTTTGCCCAAAATAACAGCAGAATATTCATGTTTACATTTTGTTTCTAAAATGTAATTGAGAGGAACAGCGTAGGATTCTCCTGTTGTAAATAATGAAAACACAAATGATGAGGCAGACAGTCATTGTGAAGACAAGAGCGTTGATGGAAGTGGAAAGGGCTCGCAAGGATAAAACTCCCACTGACTCCTGTAGAGACGGAAAAATAGGAAGGGAGAAGGAGGCCAAGAGGAGAAAATCTTTGTATGATTTTTGTTATCCTAGTGAGGTCTTGCAGCCTCATTTTCTTTGTTTAACAATAGTTTCATGTCTTTTCTCTAAACACTTTATGTTAAAAAATCAAGGTTTTTTCTGCTTCTTTGGCAAGCAGATTGAAATGGAGCTTGTCCAAGGAGAAAGCTTTTGCATCTGCTGATGAAGAGAGAGGCTGGCTTCTCCAGAATTCCCAGTTTTGAATGACAGCCGGGTGCTTGTTCCTATTGGCTTCTTTGAAGATCTCAGCTGGAATGAATTGGCAAATCTTAACTCTCTTACAAACTAGATGGCTGCCAGTCAGTGTCTCTGAGTTACGAAGTTACCACGAGGTCTGGGGAGAAAATCAAGGATTAAATTTTGGGAGTATAGGTGATGATCTCATGCCCAATCCTGTCTTGCTCCAGCTGTGAAATAATCTACTACAAGTCATTTTCTTGCTCATACCAACAAAGCT